TTACTCAAGTATTCTGTCATACTGCGTTGAAAGAAAGTACTTTTAAAGTGCATTTTTCAACGCTATTGAATTCAATGCTAAATTCAGATATATTATTCATTTGTCCACCAGTCCACAGTTTGGAAAAATACTTGAGTAATTTCTCAAACTATGAGCTTCATTTATTCAATTTTTATCTTGTAAATAAATGTTGGTGTAATTTAAAGAACAATATTTTTAAAACTAATTTTACTTCAAATTTGCTTTATTGCAAAGCCTTTAATATCAGTCTCTTTTCCCTCTCCCTCCCATTTGAAAAAAAAAAAAAAAAAAATTGTCTTTTTTTTTTTTTTTCTTTTCCATTTAAACAAGCTCGGATTAACTTTACCGTAAAATAAAAAATTCCAAAACTTATCGATCCAATTTTCTCAAAATTCGAATGCAAAGAAACTATTCCTTGCTCAGTTATATTATTCATTTTTCCATCAATGAGTTTATATCATGTAGGGCTAAAGAAATATAAAAACGTCATAAAAATTAGAATGGATAAATACGACCACCATTCGAAATAAATTTGGAAATATAAATAATTTTGTTAAATTATTTCAGTCCCGGTTTAAATGAGTTAACTTTTTTCTTGTGTCTGCTTTTCACTATCGTTCACGTATGGTTTTGAATTTTTCACTTCTTTCTATAATAGAGCAAATTCCTGAGTTCTTTCTAAAACTTACCCTTCCCTGTTCTTCGTTTTCATTCATTCGTTTGTTAAAAGAATGTAATTCATTTATTCATAGTTCAATCGTTTGTTATTCATTCGTTGCTGAAAAAAGAAAGTATGCTTGTCTAATGTAAGTTTTCATTTATTAAACCAGTTTTTATCGGTAAACGCTTTTGCTTCCCCATTCATGATACTAATTTCTTTCTTATTTTCATCATTTTTCAGAAAGTGAACATTATTGCAATTTGTGATATTTTTTAGAAAGGATCATTTATCAAGTTATTTAATATATATCTATCTTGTTAAATACGCAGTTGAGAAGTTTGCAAGATAATATTAGTATTGTAAGATAAAACATGAAAGACAGGTTTTCATTTCCTGTCTTTGATAATTTTTAGCTGATCATGCAGGTGTTTTTATCTACTTTAATAGTACATTTCCTTTCGCATTTTCATAAAAAGATGTAACAAAACTAAGTCTTCTCCTTCTAGAATTTATCATTCTAGAATATCGCAGCAGCAATACCAGTACATCATTGAGCTACTATATTTACCTGCAGGATAAAAGTTTTTTGTTAAAAACCTTTTTACTTTAAAAACTCATTCTTGACACATTTCCTTGTTATAAATGTCAAAATGCCTTTACTATTTAAAACACCAGGCGGAAGTATATCCTGTAAAGTGCAAGAAGTGCACAAAGGAGTATTTTCCTTATATAGAAACTGCCAAAACATTTTATGTACTTTACATACTCCTAAGATGGGCACACTAGTGGTTATTTAAGATGTGAGTAAAAAATATTTTCTTGCTTCTCTTATGCACTAGAAAAAGCTATATGAAGTTATAAATAATAAGAAATCACAGTGATAGGAGGAAATTATTCATGGCACAAAACAGTCTAGGAGTTCTGACATGTTTTTGGTTGTTGGCTCCGTATTAGATAAAATGACACTTGATTTCTGTATTACATTTATCGGTCACAGCCGAATACTAGACATACAATGCATTCTAATTTTAAAATGTAATGACGAATGAAATTACCTATGATTAAAAAGACCATTCTTCTTCATTTCAAAACAAATGCAATTGTCTAGAACAGCAGTTCTTAACCTTTTGACTAAAGCATACCATCTAAACAAAAATTCAAAACCTGTAGTATAAAGTACTACTACCACCACCACTCTTGAACAAAAGCTCAGATCGCATAAATTTACGGTTGTTAGAAAAAAAACTCAATCAGGATGTTGGAGTTTTGATTTTTGAATTTAATAGCTAAAAATACTTCGCTCCTTTGCCTATTACCTATTTTTCTCTTGCGTACCACCAGTGGTACGCGTACCACCGGTTCAGAACCCCTGAGAACATGAAGAGTTCACTTATGAGAAGCAATGGAAAACTGCACACTCGTCCGTCATCGAACAACAGACTTTCGTTTTGGCATGCTGAGTTCTGCAGCTCAGGAAAGCATTTTTAATTCCTTAAAATTATTGATATCTAGAATAAAGTCGTATTTAATGGTTCTTCAAATTCTTTCACTTCATTAAAGTTTTTGTAAAATTACTGTAATCTTTACGAAAGTAATAAATACCTAATGGCTATTTTGTCACTTCGTCGCTCTTTTGTGCTAACGTTTCCTAACTAATCTTGTAATAATTCAAGTAATTTCTGAATCATTACTGATTCATACTGATGATATCGAATTTGTATTGAAAGATAAATCAGATCACCACTCCTCTCAAAACCCAATCCATGTTGCCACAGACACTTTTTTAAGTCACATTTTAAAATGACTGAGCCTTTTTTAAGACATTTTAATAGCATTTTATATTAGACGAATGTTATTATTTAGGACGTAGTGAACACGCTTCAGAGGTTAAAGATTTTTGCTTAAGTAGTTTTATAAAGTACTATTTTCTCCCTCTTTCCAGCTTGCCTTCGTGGTGTAACGGTAAACATTCTCGGTAGCACATTGAGAGGTCCAGGTTCGAGTCCCGGGGAGGGTACTGCACATTTTTCACGTCCTCTGCTTCAAAAAAATCTTAATGAATGTATAGTGGTGCCCCAATTAAAAGATGGTGGGCGATAAATAGTCACCACGACGATTTGGCGATTGGGTCTCCTAATCTCCAGTCGCCCTTTAAAAGGGGAAGTATATAAGATATTTTCTCCATCCTTATAGCATGCCTTCATTGCGTAACGGTAATACAGCGCATATCCGAGAGGTCTAGGTTCGAGTTCCGGTGAAGGCATTGCACATTTTTCACGTCTCCTGCTCCAAAAAAAATTCCTAATGACTTTGAAAATCACTGTTTTACGCCTAAAAACCAACTGAAATTTAAATTAATTTTCAACCGAAATTAAAACAAATTTTCTAGCATTTATAATTACCGTTCTTAGATAAACAACACCGCACTTGTTAGTAGTAAAAGGAACGTGAAATTATGAGCTAATAAAACTTAATTTACCGATAAAAAATGCATTATTTCATATAATATTGCAAGTATCTTTCTGTATTTTAACTCTCTCTTTTATTTTTGTTTATTTCTGTCCCTTTAACTATCTATCTATCCATTTCGACTTTATAATCTAAGTACCAAATTTAAACATTCAGATACTAAAATGTAATCTTCAGGTAGTGAATTAGGTTATCGTGAAACTTTAATTGCACCGTTATCCGCCGCGTTGCATTTTGATTTTCCAAGATCTCCTATGGCCGTGTGGCTAAAAATGCAGAATACTAATTCAATCGATCTGTATTTCAATCCCGACAAATTTGCTGAGTGCATGAATATTCTGATTATTTTTCACTATGGGTAATATGAATGTGAGCCAGTTTCCCTTAGAAAATCTTCCATGAAGACGCTTTTTTCTTAGGGACCATCTTGAGCGACCATAAACTTAAACAAATAGTGCAATCCGAAACTAAAATCCGAAAAGGTCAAATTTCTATATTAGTTAAGGAAATTATTATTTATCTCAAAAATCATATAGTGAATAGTGACTTAAAAATTTAATTACAGCATAGATATTGTAGGTACTGAAAACACTGCTTTAGGTAAAAAACCTTGTTGATTTCATTTCCCTTTCCATACAGAAACGCAGAATCGTACATAGGCAATACACCAAAACATTAAAATTAGATTTAATACTTTTATCCTCGCCTAAATGTGTATTCACTGATTTAAAAATTAAATGGTAAACTTCTGCATTACTAAAATAATGAATGGGAAAATATGGCGCAATGAACATAGCCTGTCAATCTTGCAAAATAAGTGTTTTATTTCTTGGCCTGCTTATTGTAGTTTACAGATTAATAAGAAAAAAAAACAGAGTCTGTGATTTCGCCTAGTAAGCATTCAAATGACCTCAATTGAAATTGTTTTGCAGATAAACCACACGGATTTCCAGCTATTCCAAGAAATAAACTGAGGTGTGGTTGTTAGGCGTTTCTTTAAAATAAGCTAGTCAAATTAAAAATTTTGCGGTAGCAGGTAATGTAAGATATAAATAAATAACTCAAACTGATAATATCAGTATTGTAAATATGAAAAGTTTTCAGTACAGTATGAGTTGTCATTGAAAATGTTAATATTTTCTAACATGCATTATTTATCCAATTCTACCAGTTATTTATATTTACGAATAGTGCTTAGATGTATTTGCACTGATTTTCTTAAACCTTACCTCTGGGAATTTTTTCGACTATAATTGGATTAAAATAGACAACCGATGACCGTAGGGTTTCTCGAGTAATCGTTTTCTTAGATTTTAAAAAAATAGGAAACAAACTACCTGTATCATACTTACCGCTGGCCAACCAATATGCAACCCGAAGACGAACAAGAGATATCAAAGCTAAGTCAATGTTAATTGATTTGAATTACTTCCTTCTTTGAGGTGAAGAAGAGAAAATCAGTAATGTGAGGCCTTCACGTTTGTCAACAACCGCTTCTACACGCCGAGGCATTGAATGAAAGAGGGTTTGGATGCGAATAGCCCATGCTGCCTCCACACGTACCCAAGGATCATCTGGTATACCCGCGAATACTGCATGCCGGGTTAAGCGTTCTCCAATCATTGATCAGATGTGTTCGATGGGCGAAAGATCTAGAGAATGGGCAGGCCTGGGTAACAATGTAATATAGTGGACTAAGACGAAAACCTGAACATGCAACATGTGGTCTGCATCGTCCTGTTGAAATGTGGCCACAGATACACCGATAGAAGAAGAAGATGACCACACCACAGAAGTTAACCGATAATGCGTATTAGGGGATACAAGAGTGGAATCCATTACTACTCACACCATAACATCGCGTGAAGGACCAGTATGACAATGCATAACGCAACAGTCGAACAGCTCTCTCCACGATATCTCCAAACTCTAATCCTGCCATTGTGGTACTGCAGGCAGAAACGTGATGCGTACAATATGCCCTCCTTCCGTGGAGTGACGGTTTCAGTTGTTCCTGTCCGTCAGTAGAACGGACGGGCATCCCTTCTACATCCACCGATTCCATATTCATATGACTCTTGCTTGACTGCGTCCGTTTTGGTGACCGATTTCCCCAAAGGATAAACCTCAATCTCTGTATGCAACGATTCTGCTTCGGTCGATCTCAGAAACGTATTTGAATAATGGTGCATTTTTTTCCTACGAGGCATACTGAAGCTGCACACACAAAAATTCTCACGAGAGAACAATGTAGCTATATAGACAGAGAGAAAGAGAGAGTTATCCTACTATATCTTCTATCAAGAATATCTATCATGTCATAAGACTGGTGCAGAAAAAGTATAACATTAACATGAGAAACTCCATATGTGTTTCACATATATCACAAACTGTGTCAATGCTTAATTATTACCATTCCAAGTTAATATTAGCTATAGTAATTTAAAGAAAATTACTTGAGCGGTTAAATATAGTGATAAATACTCGTGCATTAAGAAAATTAGATTACAATTTAAATTAAACATATATTTTCAACTGCGAGTTCAGATTAGAAATTAATGAGACATCAACAATATCCAGATATGGCCATGTTCTTTTGATAACTGTAAGTTTGTTCGTTGAGATCAGCAACTTCATTTCTTGGACATTTTGAAAGGCAATGAGCAGTAACTTATCAAATAATAATAAAAGAAAATCTATTTAGGTAGATCTTATAGTATTTAATGTACATGTGAATCGAAAATTATACCTTTTTCATTAATCACTATAACTCTGTTATTAAAATAAAATACAGCTAAAAATGAAAAACTAATAGCGATAAAAAATATAATACATTTTGGCAACTATGAGCCGATGACTGCAATGGTTATTCCTCTCTCCACTTCAGCTGTCGCTACCTGCTTACCAGGAGGCAATCGATCATCGTGAAATTGATAATACATAACTCTCGAATTACGTTGTTTTGAAATGCGGGATTTTCCCTGATACACAGATCTTTTTAAATATAAAAATATTTTAGAGTTTTAAAACAGTTGAAAATGTACGGCATGATGGCATAAAATGCACGTAAAAAGTAATAGTTTACCTGATCGTTTATTATTATAAAATTGTCACAAATCTATTTAAAATTCCCCAACATGCAGTAGTCCCCGCTTAATGTGATCCCTTTTGTCCATGGCTATTTTCATAACATTAAGCGGTGAGAAAAAAATGTTCTTCAGAAAAAGGGAATTTAACTAATTTAATGTAAATACAAGAAGCATATACATAAGTACTTTCATAGAATTTTAATTAGAAAAAGGGGAAAATTTACTTATAAACTCTTCATAATGTTTATAACACTATAATTCGTATATGAACTGTTCATCTCCTAACTTGCTCGAAAAGCTGAACTCCTAATACTCGGGAGTATATCATCTCTCATTCGCTGGAAGAGAATATACAAGTGTAAAATCTAAAAGGATTGGTCTCCTCCTAAATTTAAATGATTGACTAAAATCAAAAATAACTCTCTGGCTCCATAATCCCTTTTTTGGCGATATTTTTCTGATTCTTCGCTCTTTTTCTAATCTATTTTGATCTTATTTGGTTACCTTGTAGAGACATTAGGTTTTTTTTTCCGAAACAGGAGAGATGAAAAATGAGCAACGCCCTCGCCGGGAATCGAACCACGGAACTCTGGAATACACGCCTAGCGTGCAGACTACTACACTACGAAGGCATGCTAAGAAGGCGAGAGAAATACCTTATAACCTTACTTCAGTTTAAAAAATTATGCGATAATACTTAATAATCCGAATAATATTAACTGAAATGTTGATAACAATAAGCGATGTACTTTCCATGTTTTCGCAAACGGCAGAGACTTCAGCAATTCTAATAATATCCGAATTGTAATCTGCCGACAAATGGCATTGTAAAAAAGCCGCCGTTAGAGGGCGCAAATTGAGCAGCGTCAGAGAATTCGGGGAGCGCGAACGAATGTAAAGGCGATGTGTTGTGTTTGAATTATGATTCCCGTCATACAGCTGGGTGTACATATGTATATAATGAGCTCCATCAATAAGCCAAACGTAGTAATACCGCGTGATATTTTTGATGAGTCAGACCGAAGAGAACATACCACTTCTGTCAGAACAATAACATTAACCGCGATCACATTAAGAGGCGTCTATTGTAGCACTCCAATACTTCTAGGCTTTCCTTGATGTCACGATTTCTAATTAAAAATATAAATGTATAAAACGTACATAAAAAAAAGAAAACGGAAAAAGGATTAAAAAACATAACTGTAAATAATATATATACTTTAGCACTCTGCTGTTGAAATATCTTTCCAATAATCTTCAGCTGTTAATATTGAGGTGAACTTCAGGTATTGCAAATGCCTGATTAAAATGTGACATACATTTGTGCGTCTGAGCAGTTCTTCGATTTAGCAAACTCAGCTATTGAGTATGATCTTCTGTAGATCTTGCTAAGTTTTCACATGTTTAGTTCATTAACGCAAATCTTACATATATATTACACCTTTAAATAGCTTAATAATTCACATGCAAGAAGCTTCTGTTTATGGTAGCTTTCTCGAGAAGCACGGAAAATTTATATCGTTTAAAAGAAAAAAGCTGAATTGATTTATTGTATCTTAGATTCTTTAAGCATTTCATTTGTTACAAAACTTTTTATTTTTTATATGAATTATGAACAATGAATATAATATCTACAACGTTTTGGTGCTTGTGGTACAATAAACAAAATGCGTTGCGCTGATACACATGTGCTTCATCTTGTAAACAGACGAATTAAATGAACGATACGAAACAATATTATAGACGCATACTATAGACATACTGTTACGAATTTGGTATTTAAAAAGCTAATGTTAGTTCAATTATAAATTAAATGGTTTTATTTCTCGCGCAGTGCAGCGCGTGACGAATATTAAAAGAAAGCTAAATCGGAAAAATTAAAAATACAAGAGCGCGTGCATTAAATAAATAAATATCTCTTTTTGATTTCGAGAAAGTACTAGAAAATTCTAGCGCGTGATTTTTAAAATCTTATAAAAGGAGGAAACATCTCAGTTTGTAGTAGTTTTGCTTAGTTTTGTTGTTTGTTTAGAAAACTGCTCTTGTTGATTGTAGCGAATTCGCGGATTAGCGTTCTTTAGCTGTTTTGAATTGCGTTCTATTGGATATTTGAGTAGTTAAAAGATAACTACTGTGAAATATTGTAATACTGCATGATAATTTGAGAAAATTTAAGCATTTTTGTTGTGATAATAATAAATTTTTGTTCATTTTTTTCATCGGACTTGTGCATTCATTTCATAACGAACCCGTACGCACGCAACAATTTTTGGTGTCAGAAGTGGGATTTGAATGCAAATAACAAGAGGGATGGAAGAACAATTTGAGACAGCTCATTACTGCTTTTGCTGCTTTCCAAGAAAATGGAAGCTGGCCAAACATCTTTTTTTAAAGAAGAAAATGAAATGGGCCAGGAATCCCTCAAGGAAGAAATGAAAACGGCACAGGAACAAATGAAGTTGGGCCAGGAATCCGTTAAGGAAGAGATGAAAATCTCTTAAAAATGAGATGAAAGCAGTCAGGACGAAATGAAAAGAGAAATTACCTGCGTAATAGAAAATAAATTTGAGGCTATGGAAGGCAGAATAGACGCGGTTGAAACTAAAGTTTGGACAAATAGAAGAAAGAGTTTTCTTCGGTAAAAGAACAAGTAGAAGAAAGAATTTCTTCTGTAAAAGAACATATAGAAGAGAGAATTTCTCCGTCGCTCGAAACAACAAATTGATGATAGGGTTTCTGCTGCCGTCGCCAAAGAAGTTGACAGCCTAAAGAAGTGCATAGCGACGGTAGGAAACAATTCTGAAGGTTTCAAATGTTTATCGATGCCTGCTCGTTCCGTTCTGAAACTATCTACATATGATGGGAAGACCTCCGGATGGGATTCCCAAGCTAAGGCCTGTCATCTCGCCGCTTCTCTGAGAGCAGACGCAGCGGATATCCTGCAGACGCTTCCCGAAAATCAAAGGCTAGATTTCGAAGCTCTATCCGGCGCTTTGGAGCTGCGCTTCGGCGAGAAATGTTTAAAAGACTACAGCAGGCTCCAATTAAAATCTCGTCAACAGAAGCCTACCGAAACACTTCAGGAGCTCGCCGCGGATGTTGAAAGGCTGTCCCATCTCGCCTTTTCAGAATGCCCGACAGAAACAAGGGAATCCTGTCCTTACAATACTTTATTTTTATCGACGGCATCCGAGATACTGAAATATACAGAAAGCTCTTCGAATGGCAGATGTAAAGGACATAAAAAGCGCTCTGTTGTACGCCATGAAGTTCGAGGCAGCCCAGCAAGCAACTAGTAGAGATCGCTACCCAGTTAGAGCTGTGCGAGTCCATGAGCCAGTGGATCAACTGATGGCTCGTTTAGATGATTTAGCCAGACAAAGTCGAAATTTGATACGCAGTAGGAGCGAGAAGAAAGTGGCTCTAAGGTGTGTTGGAGATGTGGTAGTGAAGGTCACCTAAGACGGAATTGCAGAACACCCCAGGGTACGGAATATAAAAGCAGATGATTTTTACCAGACAAGTCAGTGGCTTGAGACGGAACAGAAGGAAAAGAAAACTATTCTAAAAGTGCTGGAAACTGCGGAGTTGAAGGCCACATACGAAAAAACTGCAGAACACCCCCCCGAGGTACGGAAAATAAGACCATTTCCCTCAACAACGCAGTAAAACAAATTAGTGACCATATCGAGGAACGGAGGTTGCCAGATAGTAAAAAACCTTGTTTTAAAGCTCTTAAAATTTATACAGTGAGTGGGCAACAATAACGGACTGTCCATCAATGGGAATATCGATGGAGTTTCCTTGCAGTATGATCATTGACACAGGAGCGAATGTTACCATCATTAGGAAAGATTTAGCTGAACAGTTTTAAAGATAAACTTATTTGGACGCGCCATCCTGTGTTACCCTTCAGACTGCGTCTGGTGACAAGATCGACATAACTGGGAAGTTAAACGTAAACTCATCACGTTTG